TTATATTGCTCCATGGCCCGTCATTAAGTACCCTGTGACCAGTACAAAATGCATGTCCGGCTCTCTGTTTAAAACATACGATATGTATCTGAATATGAACAAAAGTCACCAATTTAAACAAATTAATGAATCCCATCCTAAACTTGCAAACTACTCAAAGATCACTGTATAAACCAAAACTCAAACTCCAGAACTCAGGCCTTTGCCCCTGGACCCCTTACTAATATCTGCATTTTCCTAGCCAGTGTGTACTTTAACAAAGAAACTGATACTTTAAGAATTCTTTATCTTTATGGCATAGATGTACACAAAGCGTGTACAAATCAAAAATTATCTTCTTATACAGGATAAAACACTGCAATCTAGTATAAAAAATCATCTACAGAAATGAAAGTTAATACCACAAATAAAGGAAAATCACTGAAAGCATCACAATTTTAGTCTGTTGAGTACTCCCAAGTTTAACTTTATCTTGCTATAAATACCAAGGTGAGGACAATATTTGTCAGGGGGTGTTGTAGAGAAGATCCTCCCAATAACCCTTTCCTTTATCAATGGCGAATGGGCATGGCCAGTCATGGCAATTTGGATCATTGAATAAATTAAGTAAGTGGGAGGTAATTATTATTAACCCCTACGATATGGATAATATTACTGTCCTGTCATGGAAAAATCTGGGTCGAGGACCAGGTGATGTGAACATGTTGTCATCAGGTGAAATGTCCAAGGGCTGGGTGACGCGAACTTGCTGTCATGAGTGAAGGCCAGGGTGACAAAAGACTCACCAGGAGTGCACAAACCTCTTGGAGTGATTTGACTCATTTGGCGCTTAGAAGGGGGATTTAGCATTATTCCTATTGATACACTGTATGTAACATACATAAGCCGTGACTGGAAGAGCGACAGCTCCTGGGAGGACGCTATTTCCATGCTGAACACCCTATTCCTGGCCGCTGTGACTGTCAACACATGTTGTATTTTATCGAGTTTTTTACATCATAAAGAGATAACATAGTCTGAGGAACAGAGTCTTGTGACTGCGCCCGGCCTACGCACCACTCACCTGGCATGTTAGCTACTTACGTAACCCACTGCCCGTATTTTCAGCACCAAGATTTTCTTCACGTGTCAACAATTAAGCCTATTAGCAGCGTATTCAAAATAGTAAATGAGGCTTAGGGACAAAGCTCTCAGGTATAGCAGTAGGATAAAATATTGTGGCAAAAAGGTATTAAATTGAATTAATGATTACGACAGAATATGTTAGATGTCAAAGGTTGTAGAGCACTTTAGGTTAGTATGGTAGTGAAAAGGGAAAAGAGGGAAGAGGAAACCGAGCTCAAAGGCCATTTAGGTTTGACACAAAGCCAGCCTTTCATCCTATCAGCATGGCCCTTGCACTTTGGGATGTGGACAGAAGGGGGTGAAGAAGAGTAGGAAAAGGAAAGGGGGAGAAGAAAAGACCACACAAAATTAGCTGAGGCAAGGGCTGTGGTCCAAGATAAGGGTGACCAAATGGGCCTCAGCCTCCGTCTCCTAAGCACTCCACGACAATAACGAGCAAATCTTAACAGTAAATCTCCCAACTCCACATCACATCTATTCAGCAAGTTACCATAAAAGAGGAGTGCCCTTCTGTCATTGCCAAATGGGAGGGTTGATGGGGTGCTCTCACCTCAATATGCACATAAGTAGCCTTAAGCTATGTGTAGTGTTTTCCACACATGTCTCCTTTATCTGTGGCAATACCATTCATTGGCATATTATTTCTTGGGATATATATTTTTTTTTTTTCACACAGCCATCCAAGCTTGCAAATATTATCCTTTGTTTCAATTATTCACAATGTAAAATGCCTGAATCTGTTATTGTTTTCGATTGCACATGATATAAATGAAAGTATTGGCAACTGTTCATGTAGTGACCACACCCATGATTGATGTATTTCCCAATCAGTTACTCTGCTCCTGGCCCCCAACTCAATTGCTTTGGACCTTTTCTCTGTAAAGCATTTGTAGTAACTTATTTTCTTTATTTCTAATGGTACTCTTTTCCTGCATAGATCAATTCAAATATCAGGAACCCAGCCCACTGTTATGTATAATCTATGGGAATTCACACCATTCATAAAATTTTGTTAATTCAAATAATGCACCTACTTACTGAAAATTATATATTTTTATATACCAAATACCAATCTTTTGATGGCTTCCCTCTGCTGTCTGAATCGCTTGGTTTTCAATCACTTTTTTCTGCCATTTTGGGCATTTAATCAGCTCAAATATCAAGCTGTAATACTGACTTGTGTATTTCTTCAGCATACCCACAATATAGCATCATAAATGACCCAGGATCAACCAACAATCTTGGTGTACTAAGTCTAATAGCAGAGGAGGGCATGAATTATACAAGGAAAATTTGGGGGAATTACAAGATGAAATGAGAACAGAACATAAATGGGTAAAACCTGCACAAAAATCTGATAATGAAACTATAGATGTGACCGCCATCTTTAAAAGTCTACCAATAACGTGCCAACTTTCAAAAACTCTATAGGAATCTAACCCATCTTTCGGTAAAACCAATGGTAATTGTACAATATGTCCTGACCAATAAACCAAACTAACTCCACATCACAAACGTTATTCAACAATTAAGCTTAACGTGACTAGGTAAGCCCTGGCAAACTTTCTCTTCACCTTAATTTGCATAGCCAAAATGGAGCAGTGTCCATAGCAAAAAGATTAAACTACATACCTTTACCTAACATTCCTTTGCTTCTGTCTACTGTCTGGAATGACTGGTTTCTAATTACTTTTTTGGGGGGCATTTGAGGCACTTGATAAGCTCACATATCAGCTGTGACAGTTACTAATATATATTTCTTTAGCATAACCACTATAATGTTTTAGAAATGACCCGGAATTGACAAAACACTCCAACCGAAACATTACCCACTGGCGTGTTGTCAGGGAATGGCAACTTGGGTTGTCAAAACTCCCAGTGGCAAAAAAATCCAAGCACAGTTTTTTAAAGGAATAGCAGAAAATCTATCAAAACGTGAAGTAAGTTTAATAAAAATAAAAGAATAAATAAAACCCATGAATTTGGAAAAGCAGACCTTGAAAATGACAGTAGAGAGTTGTGTCCATACTAATGATTCCCTTTGCATAAATCAACATGGAGGTCTTGAAAAAATATGAGTCAATCATCTTTCTCTATTACATACCTCACTTATTTTTCATTTGAGTACATTCTTGGGCCTGAGAGCAGGAAAGTGCATGAAAGGTACCAGGAAAATTGTGGGGTAAAATATTAATAATACACAAGAGAATCAGTTTCTATATTGTCTAATGGAGGAGGTTGTGCCTCTACAACCATCGGAAATAGCTACCACCCTCAAACCTGTCCAGAAAAACAAAGAATTCTTCACGTATTCATGGTAGGAGAGAGCGTACAACCACCATGCAGTGGTAGCATTGCCCGATTTGTGTGGTGCTTTCGGATGGTATGCAGTATGAGGCAGTGGTGGAGTTGCATAAAAAAAAAAAAAAAAAAAAATGATTGGATGCTACAAACCAAGACAATCTTTTTCAATAGCAATATTTGTGCAAATGCTACCTAAAAGTGCTATATGTAAAAGAACAGAGGTGAAAGCCCAATTTTAGCTAAGTTTACATGCAAAGAGCAAACACTGCACTGACTGCAGAATTCATTACTGCAATACGCCAAGTAGTTCATCTGTTCCTAGGCTCTTGTAAAAATGATATATTGCTAACCCACTAGCGACGGTACATTTTCAAGCCGAAAATAATATTTTCCGGGCGGTTTCAAAATCGGCATGTGGGTGTTTGGGTTAATAATGCTGCAATAACTCATTAACATGCTATAAGATTAATTTATACAGTACGGTAGAAGAAGTGCCTCAAATGACAAATAAAAAGTGATTAGAAGTGAAGCAAGCAACCCAGTATAAATGTAGCTCCATCTTGCCATCTTGGATGAAGGTTATAGGTCGGGACTTTTTTGGGGGTTTGGAAGGTTTGAATTGTTGTAGATTTTGCCAAAAAATAGGTTGGGTTCCTGTTTTTCAAATTTTGGCTCGTCAGTTTGTAGACTTTCAAAAATGGCAGGAACCTCCGCAGTTTCATTAGCAGATTTTCAGCATTCTTTGTGTTAGTTTTACACATTTTTGTTCTCTTTTCTTACTTAAGCCTATTTTACCCTGTCCTTTTCCTGTTATACTTTATGCTCTCCCCTACTATAAAGACTAAAAAATCAAGACTGTCTATGGAAATGGTACTCAGATCTATTCATGGATTCATTTGGGGGGGGGGGGGATATAGGCAATGTAGTGACTGACTGTGTATAATACTAACCTGTAATTTCCCTGGTACCTTTCATGCCCTCCCCTGCTATCGGGGCCAAGCTTGTCATTAAAGGGAGGGGGGGAGTCGTCACAAAATAAATAATACAAGTTTGCACTGTAGATGGTGAGAGGAATCCAATGATACAGATATCATCACAAAAATTGACCAACTGACCATATCTAAAGGCTTATTGTGGGTATACAGTGTGTGCACTCCTTCCCCACCTCCTTTTCCATGCAGTTAATCACCTATATAGAATGAGAAAATACCATTCTCTATGCGCTGATTTCTAAAGCTTTAACGAATATGTATTGGTTACAAAGCGACAGCACTCCTCCAAGGCTAATTCGTAATCATTCGAGCCACTCCTGGGAACCGATACATATCACCATATGAACCAAAATCCTTTATGAATGAAATACCATTCCTATTCTTGCATCACTCCAACCAGAAGCATAGTTAACACTAGACATCTTTCAGACTCCGATGATAAAACATCTGAGAGATTTTCAGAGCCAGACAAATTCTCCAAAACTGCCCAAACATTTATGGCCAAATAAATGGAAAACACAGCTTAATCTATTACACAATGCTTTACCAACTACATACTCAATCCAAGATCTACCTTACCTTGTAAGAATATCACCAAAACGAATAGTACTGCCACAACTTCTTTGCCACACACACACACAGCTGTTACTGACCGTCGAACTCAACACTTTCACCGAGGTAGGCCTACCCATAAGCCTCTCCCCTAATAAACACTTACTTTTTCCTTGTTACTTTCACTTGCATACAAAATACAGTCGAGGGAACCTAGAGTAAAATGGGTCTTTAAATAACCTTTTCCAGACCCTGTGCCACGTACCCAATATATTTTCCTTGATGGAAATGCCCAAGGTAATTTACCAGGAAAACTAAAAATAACTAAATATTCGCGATTTTTTTCCTCTGCTGCAGATGCCGGATGAAAGGATTCGCATCGGAATATTATAATATCTTTTAAGAATGGAGGAGTAATCCACGTGCGAATTATTGAATTCTAAGGTATTCAGTAAGGACCACAAACAAGTTTTGAAAGATTTCATTTGCAATCTTATCGACGGATCGTGCATCTAGCCTCGTTAGCCCACATACTTAAGATATTCTCGATAAAGTTCCACGTACGAGACTATTTATGACATAAAAATATATAACCGAAGAAGGTCTTACCTTAGGGATAAAAGTGAGCTGTTAGGGTAGTCACATCACCGTAAAAACACTTAAAATCACAATAATTTTCCTAAACGCAGCTGTCTCTTGCACAAGATGGCGGCTAATGCGACCTTTCCCAGAATTGCGTCACTCCTTCACATCCAGTGAGATTTCTCCAATCGTTTACCCTTTGATACAGTCTCTTTTGATCTAGTAATTTCCATTTTTAGATACTAGTTAATAAATATAATAAAATGAAAATAATATTTAATATTTTATTTTATGTATCTCTAATGTTTTGCAGATTGATGAAAAAGATCTCTAAGGGGATGTGAACGAGTTAAATTTACATACGTACTATTTAAGATTTTTTTTTATTTTTACATCTAATGCACAATAAGAACTGTTTATCTACTTCATTTAATCTTCAGGTAAATTATGATATGGGATATTCTGTTAAAACAATTAAATATTACCAAAGATATTTTTCAAGAAAACATTCGGGTACGGGGTTCACAATCAGGGCGCGCGGGACATTTAAATTGTCACTGAAAAATAGAAAATGAATAATTATATGGAAATCAGCGCGTCACCCGTTATTTCATAGTATGCGCCACTCTAAGCTTTACAAATGTATATTAATGGTAGTTTTGTTGCGAAAATATTTGATATATTTCAGTTATTTGTCCAGCCATACAGGGATACTTACATGAATACATACATAAATACAAAAATATGTGCATGCAAACGCACACACACGCGCACGCGCGCGCGAATATACATGTGTGTGTGTGTGTGTGTGTGTGTGTGTGCGTGCGTGTGTGTGTGTGTGTGTGTGTGTGGTGTGTGTGTGTGTGTGTGTGTGTGTGTGTGTGTGTGTGTGTGTGTGTGTGTGTGTGGTGTGTGTGTGTGTGTGTGTGTGTGTGTGTGTGTAATATATATGTTACAGGGAATACATGAAATTGGGGATTACACGTAAACCCTGAAATAATCAGGGATTTCACGTGATGGCTGTGATCATAGGTGAATACAGTTATTACGTGATATCTCAAAAAATAAGTAAAGAAAGAAAGAATAAGAATGAATATATATATATATATATATATATTATATATATACATACATACATAATACATATATATATATATAAATATATATAAGATATGATACCCATAGAGCGGTTTGCATGGTATATCAATAATGCATTGGCATCTAAATTATAAATATATATGCAGGAAACTATGAGATAATATGACATGAAGAAAAAAAATCTGTCACACAGATTACATGAAATCCCTGATCATTTCAAGGTTTACGTGTAATCCCTAGTTTCACACATTCCCTTTATATATATATATTATATATATATATATAATATATATATATATATATATATATATATATATATATATATATATATATATATATATATTATATATATATATATATATATATATATATATATATATATATATATATATATATATATATTACATTCAGTATCATCATTGTCGCCAGTATACTAATCTAATACTGTGACATAATTGTTAATCATAATTTCATTATTTCCATCATTACTATGACCATTATCGATCAGATCATCAACAAAATGTTTGATGTATCATAAATCTTGGGTGTTATATACAACAGCCTTAATGTTCAACTCGCTTGTGCTTAAAGAAATGATGTATGTCAGAAACATCGTTATTCTTGATGGAAATCATTTGCATATATTGCTATTTATACACGAAATTAAAACCAAATAAAAATTACGCAATGAAAAAACGGACTTTTCTATGGCAACACGCCGTAAACAAGTGACGTCATCACTGGGACATTCTCAAGGTTACGTTATCGACTTCTGTCTGGTGCCACTAATGCTTAGTAATGAAGGTTGATGATAAAATGGGATCCCTGACTCTACTTAAATTAGTGTTACATGCGAAACGATTCTTTACTTTTACACAAACTCACACTCACACGCCCGCACGCGCGCACGCATTCATGCATATTTGCACACACACACACACACACACACACACACACACACACACACACACACACACACGCATACACACACGCATCCCCTCCCCCCCAACGCACACACATATACATACACATACAAGCACACACGCGCGCACCTTCCCATACACACTCATATATAAAGATTGATAGATAAATAGATAGCGAGATAGAGAGACCGATATACAGTTAGACGAACAACAGGTAGACATAGAAACAGACAGATAATTGTGCGTGTGTTGATATATTATGTATATCTGTGTACCTGTTTATCTGTAGCATCTCTCTATATCTCTTATCTCGCTATCTGTTAATCTATCTGTCGTTCTATCTATCTATCTAACTGTATATACATGCATATATATATATATATATATATATATATATATATATATATATATATATATATATATATAGGGCGTCATTTCATCTTTTCTTGGGGAAAGGGCACGGTTGGCGGTAAAAATGACCACAATCTATTCTGGCGCGTTGCAGCCCCCCCCCCATATATATATTTTTTACTAATTTTGTGGGCATTTCTAGCTTAGTTAGACTACACTGGTCTCTCAAGTCGCACACGCACGATCTCGCTTTGTGCCTGCGTGGGAGTGTGTTTTTGTGCATGTGTATGTTCTTGTCAATCCATATATCGGTATTATCCTTTCATCTTTTTTTTCTGTTAGTAGGTAATATATATAAATGGAACACATTATTCAGAACATTTATCACATTTATTAGTTTATCATCAAATAAAAAAATAGCCTGGCGACAGCTTGGCGTGACTAGACGTACGTGTAGGAGAGGGAGGAGGAGGGGGGGGAGGGGAAGGGAAAAGTCGAAAGCAATAACTAAAGGTTATTCTTTACACCTGTTTCCCTTTTCTTTTTTATCCTTCCAGCGTCATAGCAGGAATTTGAGGTGAGTATTTATCTAAAATCTGGATAAGACCCTGAGGTGAAATCGGAATGAAAGTCATTTTTTAGGCGAAATGGCGTGAAATTGTGATCTAAATGGGCGGTGAAGAAAATGCGATGAGAGGTGAATGTTAAGGCCACAGTCCATAGAAGTTTCTAGGCGATTTTCCTCCTTTTTTCTTTCTTACGGAAATGCTCTCGAAATTAGTTTAGCTTCTAATCCGTCTGGACCACGGGGAAGGCTTGAATCCCCAATCCTTATCCCTCAACTCTCCCTCTGTCATGGGCGGCGTGTGTCCTGCAGCTTCCTCGCGAGCGTCAGCCGAAGAAACCCCCATGTCCACCGCCGAAGTTCCCGCCAAAACCTCCCCCAAAGCTGCCAAAAGTTCCCGGATGGTATCCTCCGAAGCCGCCAGGGTAGAAACCACCTCCGAAGCCCTGGTTGAATCCCCCGCCAAAGCCAGGGTGGAAGCCGCTCCCAAAGCCGGGATAGAAGCCTCCTCCAAAGCCCGGATAGAAGCCCCCGTGGCCGTGCCCTCCGAGCCCGAAGGAAAGCCCGACGGAGAGATGGCGCGGGTTGGGCGTGGCCGGTCGCGTGTCAGCTGTGCTCAGGCCGGCGATGGCGGAGCTGAGCATCATCAGTAACAGCTTCATGGTGATTCTGAAGGGTGGCGGAAGAAGAGAAATGGAAATAGTGAACGGTAGAGAAAACAGAGATGAATAAATATACGGTAGAGAAAAAAGAGATAAATAAAATACGGTAGAGAAAACAGAGATGAATAAAAATACGGCAGAGAAAAATGAGATAAATAAAATACGGTAGAGAAAACAGAGATGAATAAAAATACGGTAGAGAAAGAAGAGATTAATAAAAATAAGGACCGGTGGAGAGATGAGAGATGAATAAAAGCAGTGAACAGTAGAGAAAAATATGAATATATAAGACCGGTGGAGAGAGGAGAGATGAATACAAATAGTGAACGGTAGAGAAAAAAGAGGTGAATAAATATAAGGACCGGTGGAGAGATGAGAGATTAATAAAAATAGTGACCGATGGGGAAATAAGAGCAAATAAAAATACTGACCGGTGGAGAAGGGAGACTATTCACAACGCCAATTAGAATACGTATTGAAAACGTTTTGCTTTAGAATGATGCAGCGTCATAGTTTTTTTTTTTTTTCAAATACGATTCATGAGTAAAATGCTACCTGTCATTTTTCATACTGTAATCCTTTGTATATCTCAAAACCTGGTTTTAACTTCTATTATTTCTTCAATCTCTCTCTTTCACACACATACACTGGAACCCAGTTTTATCTGTATCCCTGAAAAGCCAAATTTCCCAAAAATATATGCTAATGTTATTCTATGTCTCTTTTGTTATTTTTTGCATAATTTATATAATCTTATATAGTGGCACATGCATACATTTACATACGTATACAACACACGCACGCACACACACACACACACACACACACACACACACACACACACAC